TAATGCTCACATTCGTAAAACCACTGGAAAGGAGGCGATCGCCACAGAAAAGAACACGCGATTCGCGCCCCATTCCTTGATGTACAGCCATGTTGTGTACCGGTGAAGAACCACTCCTAACGTCATAAACGTACACCTAGAATAATGTAATGACATTTTTTCCCGATCAAATCAAAACGGCAGAACAGAAGACGCTAAATAAGATTTTGCCAACCTGACGACCCTTGTCAGCGCTAATTGCCAGAAGTTTTCCATCTTCGCTCCAATCGATGGACTGACCTTTATCCTCAAAGCCATTCAACGCTGAAAAGTAGACGTACTTGTCAATAAAACTAAGAAATTTGAGACGTAAAGAAACTTATTCCTTTGCTAAAGTTAGCAACAAGCGTGGTCGAAAATCCCCTATGAGAACCTGGGGTGCATGATAAAGATACGAAACAAAGTCACAATCTATGCTCAGGGTAAGAATAGAACGAATATGGTAATTACCCACTGATAGCAAACAAATTTCTGATAGTTAACGTTGAGCTTCTTTTCAGGAGAAAATTGCAAAATTTGCTAGTTTTCCTTTCTTTGGAAAATTTTGAAAGAAAAAAATTTGGTGAGTTAATATACAACGTGTTGAACAATTCCTTCAATTGACCAAGATTATGAGCATTGTCATTCTTCTTTAGTCTGTAAAGATGTAGTAAGAATATAAAAAGGTCCCTACAAGCCCTTTGAGCATAGCCGTACAAACATTGTCACCCACCTGCAAAGTCATATAGGCAATTTTCTCATACAAGTCATAATTTTCGAAAGCGGAGAACATGTGGACTCCGTTTATGCTCTCCGCTTTCAAAAGTGTCGTCGCAGTTACGAGGAAATTACAAGCAGTTTTACATGGGAGAAAGTCTATAAGGAAACCTGGATATCACCAAAAAAGACCCATTTCACCAAGAAATAGGAAATATGCTCTGCTCAACCGCACGCTCTCTACTCAGCTTGCAAGAGAAGCTCTAATTACTGAATGATCACGAATATACTTCTGATGGATTTCATCATTGAGAAGCATTAATAGAGGACTAATTTTTTGAAAAATATATCAGCAAAATGTCAAGACAAGGTTTTGAGATTCTTGCATACTTATTATTGCGGATATACGAGAATTATTTTTAAAAAATTTTAGAAAG